TCAACCTGTCTTTTTTTACGTTTGTGGAGGGGAAATTTTTTGTATACAAAACGCGCGCGTTTTGGACGCGATTTCTGAATGACGTCGATACGTTCCTGGCGTTTATTTACGCGAAATAACCTCTAGGCGATTTACATGGAATATTTTTAGAGCATAGACCGATGGCGGGCGTGTATGCGTGTATGTGTGTGTGTGTGTGCACAGTTCATAAACTGATAAATATTTGCATCTGCTTTTGATAATATAATTACATTTTTTCGCGATTTATTTTTAGCGCACAGAATAAGCCACAAGGCTTAAATTTAGAAATGCGTTCGATTTTCGCCACATGCACAAAATTGTGAAGCGGCAACGGTAATTAGCACGACTCGAATATTAATTTGTAAGTTTCTTGATTCATTTAATTGCACACTTTTATTAATATTGTTTATGATCGGTTCATGTGGCTGAATTTTTATAAATAATTATGAATTTCAGTTCATGCGTTGCGTACGAGCTGCGCTTCAAGACTGACTCACGCGTTGTGAGAGCTGTGCGCGCTTGGCTGTTGTTAACTTGGCTCAGTAATAGCAGCAGCAGCAGCAGCAGCAGCAGTCGTAACAACAACAACTACAACAACTACAACAATAACCGCTAGCAGCAGCAGCTGTTGAGTGTCGCAGTGGAAAAATAGCGCGTGCGCGCGTTTTTAGTCGTCGTTCATTGGTGGTTGAAGCGGAATGTTGTTGTTGTTGTCATTCTCAATGCTGTTGTTGTAATGTTACCGCCAGTTAGTCACTGGGCACCTGATATCGAGGGCACAAAGCCAGAGTCAGGTGTATATTTTATTTTATTCTGCGCTCGCTGTCAGCTTTCAGTAATTTAATTCCATAATTTGTAGAGAGTGTAGCTAACAAGCATATCAGCTTTTTATAGAGTATATGAGAAGTGTACATAGTTATGTGTATATATACTATATGTGTATGTGTAATAGTAAGTTGTATCGAAATCAATGTACATATATCTACATATAAAATAAAAGCTTTAAGTACATTGGCGACAGTTTCTTCCGGCAACCTTTCAATACAGTTAACAGTGCTAATGTTAACTGCATGTTAAATAAAAATATTCTAGGACCGGCTTTTTAAATGTGCAAGCCATTTGTTATTAAGACCATCAATAATTGAATAAAATCACTAAAAATCATATTTTTCTGGAGAAAATTCCCTTTCTATATAATCGTGAAAATAGTTTAATCTTTTGTATACATACATACATAGTTATATTAATTGACCCATTCATTTTTGTGTGTGTACAAAAGGGGAATTTCTTAAGATCCCACATTAATAAAACGGCTTATTAAAATGGAGTAATAAATAACGAAATTCAAATTAGATTTGAACATTTTAAAAACCCAATTTCCCACTGGTTAAATAGTTTTGCTGTTACTGTAAAATGCAAACAAAGATTTATTTTGCTATCACTTTTGTTGAAATTGAGTACGCTATATGCTACATCTGAAGAATTGTTGTGTTTTTTTTTCTTTTTTAACATAAACTCAAATACATATACATATGTTGTTTTGGAATGATTTGCATTTTCAACAAAACTTTGATAAGAAAGCATACAAATTTTCAAGGAGCCTTAGTCATAGTGCATATATAGATTATTATGAGCATAACATGTTTATTATTTCAAATATTATTATCTGACACACAAAAATACACAAATATATATTATTTTGGTATAGGAACAGATTTCGCTGTTGTCTAATTATAAAAAGAGACATTTATTTTTATTAATCAATTATTTGCGCTTGGCCTCTGGCTGGGCCGTGCGGCTGATAAGCTAATCAGCAGCAGGCGTCTGTTAAGCTAGAGCTTAAACGGGCAGATATTGGAAAAAATAACATAATGCATTACATTCTTGTCGTATCGACAATAGATAGCCGTGCGTCGCAGCAACATACGTGCATAATCACATGCAAATTGCAGCACATTGCAATGGCTTCCAATTCCCACGTCAGCTGGCAAATACGTTACGAGACACTGCTGGCAATCGCTGGAAAGGTCAATTGGTGGCTTACCGAACTAACTGAAAACCAGAGAGCTACATAACAGGCCATGGCACAGCTGAAACTGAGACCCCGCAACCTGAAGTCCAATCATTTCCAGAGCGCTGCCCATTTCCCATGACGTCGCCGAGCTGGAAACTAGTCGAGCGGAAGGAACTAACCGAAGAAACTGCGGCAAGTGCCTTTCCTTACCAGCTGACAACGCTAATAGACATTACTGCGGCTGCTTGCCTCCTTTTGTGGCACGAGGGTTGTTTTTCAAACACCTGCAACGGCATGTGCCCTGTTGCAACTTGCCGCCAAAAAGGTGGCATTCAGCAACCTGTTGGGAATTGCTTGTCTAGCGGATTGCGTGTATGCACAAGTGAAAATACACTGAGAAAAACCAGAAGACTATTAAGCAGAGCGTGAATATACAATGTTTGGAATATGATTTGTTTTGCTGGTTGATTTAATTCTATAACAATATCAACAGTATTTTTGTTTTTTTTAGTGGTTGAATATACATATATTCAACAAATATAATTATTATTATTAATTGAATGTTCATTCGTTCTTCATAAGTAGATAAATGGTCTTTTCATATTTCTTAAAGAAATTTATTGAAATTCACATTTGAAACTTATGTATTTATATATATATACTATTCATCAATTAAACAATTAACCACAAATGAATTAAATACTTTCCTTATATAGTATATAATACAGTATAATATCTACATCTTCACTTCAAAAGGAAACTCCCATTGTAAAATATTTCTACATGGGCTTATATCATCGCTTCTGCTAATTGACTGAGTAATAATATCAACAATTGTCTATTTGTTAATAGTTGTTTGTATTGAGCAGTGACTTTAGGTAAGGCAGGTGGTATCTCTGACCTAAACAGAGCGACGACAGAACTTAACAGGGATTGAGTAATCAGAATCGTTGATATCGCTGACTATGCAGACCTCCAATATGAGGGGTTGACAATAGTCGGGCAACCATGAAAAGTTAGCTAAGTGTGTCGACTCCGCGTTTCATGTTCTAATTTCAGCTCAGCTCAAAGTATGTATATAATAATATGCATGGGTAGATACCATAAACCATGTACATACTCTGTATATATTCGTATTTGGTTTATAATTACTAAGGTAACCGGTTACACAGCGGTCATGACATTTTCAGAGGTCAATGCATGCTATATACCCTGTAAAAACTAATATATATTGCGCTTACCGTATCCTCCTCCGAACGGAAGCCAAAAACGAGTCCTCGAAATGACATTTTTACATTACGTGCAAATTCGAAATACAGTTGAAACGAAGATTTCACAGTTTTTGTTGTTTTCATAAAGTTTTTTTTTTTTCACTCTTCACGTTTTTGGGTGCGCACTTAATGATAATTTATTTATTTATAYAYATATATATGAAATATTTATAYACATTTTGTAAAGTTCGCTGAGCTCGTGAACTTGCGTTGAACTTTTTATGGCACAATTCTTGTTTTTTTTTTTTAAATATTTTTCTCGTTTTTATTGACAGATATAAGAAATATTAACAAAAGCGCAAAGAACCGCCGAGCGACAATTGAAAATGAACAGCGCAGCGAAAGTGAAAAATCGAATGTATAAATCAGAAAAAAAAAATGAACATTTTAATCGCGTGTTCACGAATCAAATCCCAGAGCCGTAGTCGAGGGGGGTCCACGGGCGCGACAAAGGAGACGGACGGAGCTTGAGTGCCGAACGCCGAGCGCCAATCTAAAGGTCAGCAAACGTCGTCGCCAAATGGCGAGCTTTACGTATTTTTACCATTAATTGCTTTAGATTGAATTAAGCGGGGCAGCGACTGCGACTGCGGCTACGACAGCGATATGGGACTCGCATGAGCCAGAGCTGGCGATATACGTGCATGACGTCACAGGCGATTTATTTTTAGTAGCCAAGCCAGGTCGACAATTTCCGTTCCTTATCAGACGTGACGCGCACGCTGATTACAGCAACGAGAGAGCAACAGCGGAACGCGAATAAACCTATTGCAGAAGCGGTGCTGCGACTACTGAATAAGAGCACAAGCAGCAGCAGCAGCAGCATGAACGCTTGCAGCCCAAGAAATACACCCAACTAAATCCCAGCCAAGTTCCATTTCTGACAAAGAAAAATCACAAGTACCAACATTTGGACACACGACAAATACATATGTATATATCCAACTAAGAGTGTTGGGTTCGCTTATCGAGCGAATGACAGAGACAGCGACAGTGGTGAGTGAGAGAGGGAGTAAAAAAGAGGGAGAGCGCAAGAGAGCAGCGCGATAAGTTCAGGTAAAAAACCAATGTTGTCCAGGTAAATAAAGCTATCTAACTCCAGTGCCGGTTCTAGGGCAAAAGCTCCTCATAAATTTAACTAACATTTTTAATTGAAAAATTATCAAAAAAAAAAAAAAAAAAAACTTAAGTAAGAAGTAGGTCACACAATAAAGTACTTTCTTTTAAATTATAATAATTATAATTGTTGATTCTTTGATATAATCAACGATGTCTATGGGAGAGAATTCATATTTTGGATTTGGGTTGATTTAGGAATATTTTTGAAGAATATAAATAATTTTAGTTTAATTTAACATTTACTAATTGCAATATATTTTAACAAGAAAATATATTCCATGATCGTAAAACTATAAATATTAACCCGTATACCATATACCCATGCGAAACATTTTCACTTATTGATTTTCTTTTTATAAAAATAGTTATGAATGAATAACTTTTAAATTTTGTTATAGAGAGATAAAATTAACTTAAAGCGTTAAACTCTCTCATTTCAATTTGATATAGAGCTATACTAATGTTAATATAATACTGACTAATACTTTAAATTTAAAAGATATATATTATTATGAATTTGATACACTTATTATTTATACTCAGATATGGTTTCAGATGGAAATGCTTTCACTTACCCCCAGATCTGGCTCACTGTTTGTAGCTTCTAGTAGGCAATGTGTGGATGATGATGATGGTGGTWGACCCGTTATTGGATTCGGTTGGGTTAATTTATGTATGTTCTGGAGACTGCTCCAGGTGTCCATAGGCTGATCAGGGCAGGTCATGCCAGGGGATTGTATGCTATCGATAGCCTCAAAGCCCAGAGACTGTCGCGAACGCGGCTTGCCAAAGACCTGGGCGCTGAGCTTGGATGGAGTTGGCTCAGACGCTGTTGGCGGTGGCTGCATGGAGCGCCGCATCTTGCGTGACACACAGGCTGGGTGCACAAACATGTGTGTCTCATCCTGTGAGGCAGCGGTGGAGTGCAGAGAAATATCATCCATGGAGGCGACAGCGGCTAGAACTGGCTGATCATCTACCAATAGATTGAGCACATCATCGCAAGAGCGTGTGGCCGTAAGATTCGTGGCCGGACTCTTGATCAGATTGAAGCTGGCCAACAGATTGGGGCGACGCAATGAGCAGGATCCCGACGGTGATTTGGGATCAGGATCAGGCATGGCACGCACAGTCAAACGGTTATCGGGCACACCCACAATGCCCTGTGGACGCGCTGCAGCTGGAGCCATGGGCGCTAGGCCAAGGGCAGCTGCTCCCGGTGCGCCGGCAAAGTCTACAACCAAGATGCGATCGGATATGTTGGTGCAGTCATTGTTGAAGCCAATGCCCGAATCAGAATTGGAGGTCGTTGTGGAAATCTCGCTATGATTGGAAGGCTGCGGGGAGTGGGCTGCACCGGCTGGAGCACCCGCTTCATAATCCTGCGGCTGTTGGCTGCGACTCGCAGGCGGTAGAATACGCATGGTGTACATGCTGCGTATGAGATTCACCACATACTCCGAATTATTGGGAAACTCCAGACAAAGATTCGAAATGGGATCTCTGGTGCACTGCAAGCGGTACTCGTTCGCACGTGCCACATGCTGGCCATGCTCAATCAGCTTGGTATCAATGACAAAGACATGGCAACTGTGGGATATGCTGATGTGGCCGCCGCTGGCATTTGGCTTGTCCTCCACCTCGTATTCCTCATCGATTTGCGTGTTGTGCACGGCGCTGGTCACTAGTCCAAAGAAACGGTTCTCGCTCTCGGACGAAGAGCTCACGTAATTTAACCGTGCCGAAGCATATGTGGCCAGTGTTCCACCGCTTGCACTCTGCAGCCTCAACGAGTTCGGAGTGATGCTCATAAGCACAATGGTGGGCTGTCGCTTCTCCTGGCGCAGTTTGCGTATGCAAGAGCGCACCGTTTGCAGTTTGGAGCTGTGCGATATCTGCTTGGGCATCTCAATCGTGCCCAGATAGCCGACAATGACACGATATTCCAGGGCAGCATTGCCCACAGCGCGCACCATGGCGCTGACATTGGCAACATCCGCCACCTTGCCGACATGCGCCAACGGTGCATCCTCTAGCACGGGACGCAAGGTTGCATGATCCGGTAAGGCAGCTACCGCAACAGGGGCCGCAGCTTCTAGTGGCTCTGGTGGCTTCTTTTGTGGCGAGTTACGCAGTCGGTGCATCTTTGATTTGTGATGCAGAAAACGTGGCTTGTTGCGCACACCTGGGCCCAGGCTAGCCGCCAACATCTGGCCACGCGCACTGCGCTGTATCAACAGCGTAGCATTGGCATTTTCCTCATCGGAGCTGTCCGAAAAATAGTTCTCTGCAATCTGCATGCGAATGCTGCCAAACGAATTGCCTATCAACTGCACTACAGTCTCATGCGGCAGCTTGGATACATTGAGGCCGTTCACCGAAATAAGAAAATCGCCGGCACGCAGACCCGCCTGCTCGGCGGGCGAATTGCTGATAATGCAGGACAAGCGGCATGGCTGTTGGCCGGATATGGTAAATCCAAAGCCATTATAACCACGGCGCACCTCTACAGTGCGAGTGCCGTAGTTGGGCCGCTTTTTGCGTCGTCTCTGCTGGGGCTGCTGCGGCTGTGGCTGTTGCTGCTGCGATGAAGTGCCCGCTGCAGGTGGCACAGCAGCATTTGCCGGACTCATTATGGGCAATGGCGGATGATGGTGATGCATGGCGCCTACTGCAAGCGTTCAAATGATTAAGTTTAAAATGGTAAAAATAAGCCAACTCCAGTTTAGATCGAACGCACCTTTTTCATTGATGGTCTGCACAGTGGCCGCCGCTCTGTGGAATGCGGTTTGTGCTCAATGGCCAGTAGCTCGAGCGTTGGGGCTGGCCTCTAGCCAGAGCTTGTATGTAACAGTGTAACCCACACTATTGCAACAGCAAATGGTATACGCAGCAATCAAATGTATCTTGTTACACGCAGCACAATGAAACTGCATTCAATGAACTAAGTAATCACTACCAATAATTATTTTGACACGCACGCACATATTATATACCACTTACACTCACTTCAAGCTTGAATATATTAAGCCAAACAATTAAAACAAATCTCTTCAACTGCGCAAGCGTAGCCAGGTAAAAACACTTGGGTATCACAAAAACAAAAGCATCGATACCAAATAAAAATGCTACGCTGCAGCCCTGGTTTAAAAGCTACGGTCACACAAACAGCTGCGATGCTATGGCTAGCCAAATGTTGTCGGTATGTGGTCACCCTACTTTATAGAAATAAAATACATTGATGTTATATTTAGCGCGCATTTAATAATTTGTGCACAGCCATGACAAAATTAAAAAACAATATAAATACACAACGAGACTGGTTGGATTGGTGTCGCCTATGTGCCAGTGAAAATGCAAACATCAATGTGTGCCAAAAAGATGTTTATATGAGAATAATAAGCAAATGTTTTGACATCGAAGTGAGTAATTGATTGACAAAAATTACATATGTATATAAAGTCACTTCATAACTTATCATTTCTTGTTGCAGATAGGTCTCGAAGAGCCCGAGCTCGGTGCCATGTTGTGTAGAAATTGCTACGTTTTAATCGACGAGCTTGTTAACTTTGCAGAAAACGTAAACAAAGTGCAGCCCATCTTCGAGCTGTTACGCCACACGGAGCCAAACGAACAAGTCGATGTCTATGCCCTGAGGCAAGAATATGGTCTACAAGATGGAGACCGAGAGACTGCTTATAAAGTGGAACCAGCAGACGCTGAGAGTAGTCGAGAGAACAGCTTGCACCGCGAGAGGCAGCTATATTTCGATGAAGTTGATAGCAATAAGCAACTGGATCAAACCTTAACCCAAATGCCTACTTCAGTTAAAAGAAAACGTGGACGTCCCAGGGGCTCTAAAAATCGAACAGTGTCATCATACGAGTCGCTCCAAATTCAAACGGAAAATATAAAATTAGAAGCGACCGATGATTTGCACGAGGATCTGTCAAGCACCTATGAAGGCGCAGGCCATATCTGGCTTGATGATTGTAACTTGGAAGAGGAGGGAAAAACATTAAATGGTGCAATAAACAGAAAGCGTGGACGTCCCAAGTTATCTCTTAAGTTGGAGCCACTCGATAAGTGGGAAGAACCAGATGCCTTCAATCTAGCAGCTGTAAATTCAACAGCAGAGGCCCAGAAGCTCAGACTAAAGCAACTTAATGCCAGTAAAGATGAGCTATACAATTCAGATCAAAGTATCATCAAAAGAAAACGTGGACGTCCCCGAAAGAAAGATAACGTAAATGGCTTGATTAAAGTGCACGACGAAAGCGTTTCGAAATGTAAAAATGTAGCGCTAGCTAGACTCTTGCTTACATCTCCAAGGCCCGATGCTGAAGTCGATGGTGCACCACCTGAATGTATTCCTAATATAAAGCAATTTATGAAGTGTGCAGCTACGTGCAATATTTGCCACAAGGAACTGTCCTCGGAGAATGGACTTAGGTATCATATAGAGCGCGTACATATGAAAAAGAAACCCTTTGTCTGCGATGTCTGTGGAAAGCGTGTACGTACCGTTTCAGAGCTCAAAGAGCATATGCTCGTCCACACAGACGATCGGCCATTTGTGTGTCCCATCTGCGGCGCAGCATTTAAAAATAAGAAGCGACTCAATGTAAGTGAATGATTTCAAAAAATGTATATTGATTTATTTATATAAGTATTCTTCACCCGTAGATCCATAATCAAACACACGGTGAGCCCAGTTATGAGTGCGAGATCTGTGGCAAGAAATTGCAAACTCGTGCAATTTGGAATAAACACAAAAATGTTCACACGAACGAGCGACGATTTAAGTGCAGTATTTGTGGTACAGCGACTAAGAATTCAACGGCTCTAAAGATTCACCTGCTAAGTCACACAGGATTGCGACCATATAGTTGCAAGTATTGTAACAAGGACTTTGCCAGTGGCGCCAATTGCAGAGATCATAAAATTAGGAAACATCCACTTGAATATGAACAAGATGCAGATAAATCCTGTCGTATACAAAGTGTGCCCACCTTGGATGAGCTACGTGCCTTGTAAGAAATTTCTTAATTATTTGCGAACAAAATCATTTAATTTTATTATTTAATTACAGAGCTGCGGGAATGGAGAAAGGTGAACGGTTACGTAAACCAAAAACTCTGATAACTGAATAATGCACAAGCCGTTGTAAATATATTTTAAAAATTCATATTTTGAATATAATACAAAAAAATACCAAATCAATAGAATAAATCGGTATTGGTTATATGGTCACTCTAATTTGGTGTTTACCTATTTCTTGTAACCAAAATATGTCCAAATTACAAAGAAATTGTCAATAAACATTTAAGTCAATCCAGCTGCCTTTTCTAGTTGCAATGGGCGATGGCCACTGGCTGAACTGGTGTCGTCTCTGTGCGAAAGACGACGCACGGGGCAACGTCAAAATCTACACGAGCGCCAATGAGACCACTTGGAACAGTGTCCTGGTGATGGCAGTCAGAAAGTATTTTGATGTGCACGTAAGTAGCACTGCCAAATGAAATGCTTTATGTTTAGTAATTATTTCCAATCAGATGCAACTCGAGGATGAGCTGGGGAGTGTGCTCTGCAAAGAGTGTTATACTCTAATTAGTGAGTTGATTGACTTTGCAGAGCATGTTACCAAGGTGCAGGCCATATTTGAGGTATTGCGTCGATCCGATCCCAATAAGCAGCTCGACATGGAAGCTCTGCGTCAGCAGTATGGACTGCGGGAAGGTGACTGGACGCACATCATCAAACCAGTGTCGGAATTTGAGAACAATACAACAAAACATATTACTATTGAGGAAAAACCAATTGCAGCTGAGCTGCCAAAGCAGGAATTCATAGACTTAAGTGCCGGCATGGCGGATGAAACGCCAAAAAATGAAATGATTGTCAATAATTTACCGATCGAAGAAATTTTAGTAGACCATTTTGACGACGATGACGTAGAGGTCGAAGACAATCCCATTAAGCCTCGTGCAAGACGAAGAATTGTAAAAGTGTCCAAAAGTGAGCCTCCTGCAAAAACCGCGAAAAAGAAAAAAGTCAAGTTTGATGAGAAGGTCGATGTCTCAAACTGCACTGAAGACGTCGTCAAGTCTCTACCGGAGGACGTCAATGATAAGCGTCCTTACAGCCCCGATGCAGACTTGGCATTACTTCCTGAATCTGGAACCAGCCAAAAAGGTGCAGAACAGTCCCTCGAAGATTTACCCAACAGCGTTGAGGATATTGATGACATTCCCTCTAAGCGCAGAAATATGAAGTGCAGTTGGTGTGGCAAAATGTATCACAATCCAGCCTCATATCAGAAGCACTTAAGTCTTTCCTGTCGTAAGATCCAGCAGCGCACAAAACGGGATAAGAACACATACTGCGAGCTCTGCAACAAGACACTATCGTCGGCTGCCGCACTGAAGCTACACCGAGAAGGCATGCACGAAAATGCCAAGCCCTATGTGTGCGACCACTGTGGGAAGCAACTGAAAACCATAACGGCCCTTATCGAGCACAAGCTCGTGCATACGGAGGAGCGTCCGTTTATCTGTTCCATATGCAAGGCGGGCTTTAAGAACAGAGCGCGACTGAAAATTCACTACCAAATTCATGAGGAACCCAATTACGTGTGCAACATTTGTGGGAAGAAGCTGCAGACTCGCCGCACCTGGAATATGCACAAATTGGTGCATAGCGAGGAACGTAAATTCAAATGTGATGTTTGTGGTGCTCTCTTCAAACGCTCTAAGACCCTCAAAAAGCACCTGCTAAGCCATACCGGATTGCGTCCCTACATTTGCAGCTATTGTGGCCAAACATTTGCTTGCAACGCCAATTGTCGCGCTCACAAGCTAAAGAAACATCCTCAGGAGCTTAAAAAAGAAGAAGGGGATGGTATATCGTCACGCCTCAGTGTGCCTTCACTGCAGGAGCTACGGATCATGTAAGTCCCTGTGCATAGCAGCCACATGAAGGATAAATAATAAAGCAATTAATTTTACAGGTCACAAAAAATACCCAAAGTGGAAGTCGCCTAACTAATGCTCGTATTTGTCTAAAATTTTAATCAAATATATGATTTAATCACATATTAATTCAAAAACTACTAAGCGTAGATACAAAAATAATCTCTTAAATACATACATATGTACGTACATATCTAGTATAAGTATATCAAATTTGGTGACTAAAAACTATTATTTGGAAGTCACTATAGGTATTGTTAAAATTAATTATGATATTTATTCAAACTACAATTTTTTGAATGCAATAAATTTCATTCATTCATTTCAAAAATAGGGAGTATAAGATTGATTAAAGAAAATATTGATAAAAATTAATTTTGCATTTCGATAACAAAAACGGCTGGCGATAACTACTTTGACAGTGGGTGTAACTATATCGATACTTTAATACCAGTGCAGACTATCGAATGTTTAGGAAAGCACAACAAAGTGAATTGTTTATTAATATTGTTTTGCTTTTTATTTAACTTGAATAATGACGGGTAGTAGTGCTGTTAGAGATGCTGCTAAGGTGTCTCTGACCAGCACAGATGCAACTGGCTGGCATCGCTGGTGTCGGCTCTGCGCCAAAGAACATCCGGACAACGTAAATGTGTACTTCCGCAACGATGATCAAACATGGACGAGCGTGCTGGCTGTGGCTATTGGTAAATATTTTTGGGTCAATGTAAGTTCTTGCTATTTTATGCACAATGCAAGCATTGCTGATAGTTTGCAATTCATCAGATCAAAATGGATGATGAGCTGAGCAACGCCTTATGCAAAGAATGCTATACACTGGTAGAGGATCTAATCGAATTCTCCGATCGTGTGAATCGTGTTCAAACGCTTTTCAGCAAACTGCAGCAGGCCGGCTCACAGAACACCTTAGACTATAATGAACTGCGTAGGGAATGTGGCCTGCAAGCAGACGACTGGAAACATATCGTTTCGAAGGAGTCTGCCATTAAAAAGATTGAAGCAGACGCAGTTGAATACATCGTGGATGAAATGGTCGAGTCCATTGATGAAGCTGCCGAAATAATGGACGAAATAGAAGAATCGGAAGAGTTTGTTGAGCATGATAATGACAATAACACATTCGAATCGTACGCCGAGCCGATTGAACAAGAAGAGAGCGCGGAGAAAGAGTACGTAGAAACAGAATTAATCAGAGACGAAACGTATGTTGAACAAGAGGATCCAAGTGATGAGGCACCGAAACCTCATATAGACTATACTGACACAGATGCAACAACATCGACAAATGGAGATGTTCAAAAACGTGCAGAGACAGTCGCTGATACCATTGAGGACCCCGAAGATGCAGATAGTGATCACAATCAATTCAAATGCACGTCATGTAGCAAAGGGTATAAGAATCAATTGGCTTTTAAGCGACACATGGCCGTGATTCATGGTCTGGTGCCCACAGATAAACACAATCTCGAATGTAAACGCTGTCACACCTACTTTCCGACAGAAACTCAACTAACTGCCCATTACCGTACCCATTTGCATGCCAAGGAAAAGACGGAAAATACGTGTCCCTACTGTCCAAAGTTCTTCACAACAGCCGGAGCTCTCAAGCGGCACGTAACGTGCATTCATGAGAATATCAAGCCATATATCTGTGACTGCTGCGGCAAAGGCATGAAGACTCTAACTGCACTTAACGAACACAAGCTGGTACATACGGATGAGTGTCCTTTCGAATGTCCGATTTGCTTTAGGCGATTCAAAAACAAGGCCCGTCTGAAGGTGAGTTTCGATTGAGTTTCTATATGCTATGTCTACTGATCCAAATTGCTTTTAGATACATTCCGATACGCATACTAATAACAACTACGAGTGTAATATCTGCGGCCTAAAGCTAAATACTCGTCGCACACTCAATATGCACCAGCTGGTTCACACGGATGCCAAACAGTACAAATGTGATGTGTGTGGTGCTGCATTTAAGCGTGGCAAAACGTTGAAGGCGCATCTGATACTCCATACGGGGATTAGGCCGTACAAGTGCAACTTTTGTGGCAAGGACTTTTCGAATGGCTCCAATTGTCGCATGCACAAGCGCAAAACGCATCCCAAAGAGCTGGCTGAGGAAGAAGCACGAGGTGTAATGCGCTCCACACTGCTGCCCATGATTACGGAGCTGACCGAAGCGTAAGTTGACCTACTTAAAAATTACTTTCAATTTATGCAATTTATGCTTACATAATTCACAGATCCAAGCGCGTTAAAAAACCGGCGAAAGCAGGCACAGCAGTCATGCATATAAGGGTCACGGAGGAGACGACGGGTCCACCAAATGAGAACATGTCCGACGAGGAATTGGCAGCAGAGGGCGATAATGAGGTGCTATATGAGATTGTGGAGGAGTGCCCCTAAGTTGGCATGTGTATTTTAATAAAGAATCCAATTACTTTAATTTGTTTGGTATATTCACATATACAGTAGACTTTATTCACAAATATAGCTTAGTTACTAGAATAGGGAAATTAGAAAATTTTCCGGGTGGTTGTATAGATCCTAAATGCTGCTAGGATGGTATAAAATTGGCCAACGCGAGCCCAAACAGCTTAGACAAAATTGCCAACACACAAATCACAAGAAATATAACGAACGAATTTCGAAACAATAAATAACAAAGATTTTTGTAGATGTAATAACAAATAAAAATAATATTGAATATGTCACAATCGGCTCTATTATTATAATTAATAAACAATAGTTGGGATTGTAACAATTCGTTTGAGTAAATGTAAAAGTGGCAAAACTTTGGAATGTTTAGATCAGCGCAGAAGAGGAATACTTAAGAGCTGTGCTTGAACGTCATATTGAGAAAAAAAATACACCTTCGTAAGAGCAAACTTTTCACCTACCTGGACCCGATTCTAATACAACGTTTCAGCATTTCCTTAGTAAAGATCACATATGGGGATAAAATACAATTCGAACTATACATACAAAATTAATATAGATAATACAACTAAGGCTTACAGTTAGACAAATTGAGCATATTGTACACATATACATTTACAAATTCTTCTAAACACATATAGAACATTGAGCTGCGCCTGATTTAATGACTTAAATAAGTCTAAGATAGCTCAGGACAGCTAACAGCACAGCGCTGAATATGGCCAAAGTTGGACGCTTTGCATCGGCGTCGCATGCAAGATTATCCCGTGGATACTTGTTCAGTGGATCGGGCTCCTCGCCTGGTCGACATTGTTTACCTTCGGCGGCAAACTGGGCGCCGCACATCTCATGGCAAGGTGGACACATTATGGCGCCTTTATGTAGCCAACCATTCGCAGCGATGCGTATGGAGAGCTTTTGCCCAGGAAACGAGCATTTGTAGCTATAGTTGCCAACTAGAATGTGCAGCCGGCCATCGAAGCATTTGTATTTGTAGCAGCCGCTGCCCCAATGCTGCCACTCACGAGTCTGGTGGCAAGAACGCTCCTCCCACATGGCTTCACTGTGATCGAAGCATTTGGAGCCATGCCCGTAGCTCTCCAGAGCAAAGTTCTTTTCGGGCTCTACAAAAGAGATTCAATTTATCAGTCTGTGCAGCTTTTCGATATAGTCAAACGTATATCTTACTGGGATTATTCTCGACGAAGCGACAGTGAGAGCCGCGCACAATGACATTCTTGCTGCGCCAGGTGAACTCTTGTATGTAGGGGCAGTGATCCGCTAGGGAAACAGAGCCGCCATAGAAGCCCTCCTCACCGGACTTGATGTTGCTGAGACTGTCGAAATTCTGATAGGCCTTGGGCAGCTCGTACTCATGCTTAATGAGATTGCAAAGGGCCACAGAATTGCGATCGTCTGTGCATTCCGTTTGCAGTGGATCCTGTTTGACTTTCGAGCAGAACGGATGTATGGAACGCCCCCTATTCATGACAGGGATACATAGATGAATGAGCTCCGAGAGGTAGCCATTTTACCACTCACCTGTCATGGTTCATTTGTATCCACTCCTTGCAGCTGCGCATGGCGAACATGCAGCCCAAGCCCTTGCCCCAGGTCAACGGGGAGGCCATCGAATAGTTGGCACGATACCAGCCCGAGTCCTCCATCAAGGCCAGTGTTATGCGCGAAAAGACTGGCGACTGAGTGTGTGTGCCCGTCATAGCTTCGTTCTCGAGGATGCGCTTCTCCCAATGGGTGAGGGCAGTACCTTCGCCACCCTGATCTTCTAGCTCGGCACCCTCCAGTTTATTGCAATTGAAGTGGGCTCGAACCTCAGCAACCACACGTGGCGTGACCAACATATCCACAACTTTCTTCACATGGCCTCCGCGCACTGCCCAATTGTGACGCTCCACTTTGCGAATGGTCTCGTTGCTCCACTGATGGATCTGCAATCTGAAGGGAGCACACATTAATGATGGCATCTATTTTCCTTTTCTCCAACTCACTTTTCATTCAAATAGGGCTTGCCCGTGTCCGCTTTGCGCGGCGTACGAGGCTTTCCGTTATCGTCCCTGAAGAAGGCGTATAGACTAACCGAAAAGCCGAGCGCATGGAGAATCTCATGCTTCACTGTCGATATCAAGGTCTGCAGCTCCTGTGGCTTGGTGCTGATGCTTTCCGGACACAGGTTAGCATGTCCCGCTATGGGTCGATCCAACAGCGCCTCCTGCTGACAATGAGCCGCATATGCCACGGTCAGTCCCTTGAAGCAGCGCTGCGTCTGCCTTGCCGAGACATAGAAGACAAAGTCTGCGTTCTCGATGCCTTCTCCAGGCTTCGTATTGTTGTCGATGCGACAATTCTGACCCGTGCTGTTGCACACGCGACACACCTGTTAACAAAGAGAGTGAGAGAGAGAGAGGGGGACACAGGATATTCTTATAAATAATTCTGCATTGTAGTAAACTGAATGAGTGAGTGAGCATTATTCAGTCTGATTAACTGATTGAGTTTATCAGTTGATTCAATGAGTAGCTCTTTAATTGGCTGTCAACATAGCCTCTTGATAGACTAACAATTCAAATTGATTAACAGACTTTTCAACTGGCTAACAGACTAGCTGATTGATTGAGTGACTGATTGCCCGAGCGATCGACCTTATCACTGACTGACTGACTAAATACTGACGAACCCCTTCATAAACAGACCTGATCAATGACTGACGGAGTAGCCGACTGACTGATTAGCAAATTAGTCAATCAACCCTGACACTGTCTAACTCTCTAGATGGCTTTACGAAATATCTACACACATTTATTAAAATATTATAAATAACTGAGATAGTTGTGATTTAGCTATGGGAACAAAGCTCTGCTCTGTCGACAAATACTCGTCTTAGTCATCTAATTGAATGTGTTTTTGCTAGTCCGCTTTACTCACATCCAGATGCTCGTTGGGCACCACCACCTCGCCGCACATGGTCGTCGTCTTGCAATGGTCAATGCAGTGGGTGTGTCCATTCTTCACATACACCTGGGTGCTATCGCATTTACTAAAGGTAAACGAATATATACGAATATGCATTAGTATGAAATTTGCGTTAAGCTTTCGTTGACCCTAAGGCCACTACACACCGATTAAGCCGGATGACGCCCTTCGTCTCGCGCACCATCAACGCCTGTTCCCAGAATTGCACTGCCTCGGGCAGCACGGTGTCCTGAAAACGTAATTTGAGCATTATTAAAGGATATTTTACCTTTGCCTTTAAACGAAAGGAAACTTACATTAATTAAATTGAATTTCTCTTCTTCTAATCTGCAAGGTAAAGAAAAAGAAAACGAAATGAAGGTATATTTCAAATAATTCAAGATAATTAAAAACATACTTTCTTAAATATATATTTCGGAGGCTATTTAAACTAGTTCATACATAAAGTGAGTATATGATATAATCTCTGTGACAGCAACTCAATGCCAAAATGCATATGCTCTGCTTTGCATAGGGTATGCGATTTGTGCTGTCGCGTTTATCATTCCTGGAATTGACCTTGTGCTTTGCCATTGTTAATGATCGGCGGCAATCGCCCACTTTGTTAGGTTGAAATTTTCAATCGGAGTCAAGTTATGGCGTGTCGCAATCGAGCTCTACCTCAACACAAGCAGACAGAGACAGCGATAATTTCAACCAATTTTTGGCTGCAGGTGTTGCCCAATTGAAAGACAACTGGCTAACGTTTCGGCAACGCTTAACTTGACATTCGGCCAACTCGAATGGTAAACTTTGGCCCATTAAAGCGCAATTAAAGTCAATTTGTTTGCCACACTCTTTCTTGACAAAGCGTTAAATGGGGTATATCTTGGTGTTTGGTGCTGCCCATGGGCTGTGGCTTTGTTCAGCAAATCTATCTCTCTCTCTCCTCTCTCTCTCTTCAAATCTGTCACACCACTTTTGAGTTTTTCCCATTGTAATAATTTATACAGATACAGATACAGATTTATAGATAGAAATACAGATATATATAGAGAAAGGTATAGACGTTGAGAAAGCAATGGATAGATACGGAATTTGAATCGTAGATACAATCGATATTTGCTTCATCACAGTTTGATAATCAAGATGACTCTTAAGCTGTTTATTGACGGAAATATTAATACAATACAGAAAAGCCTGCTTACAGTTAAAAGTTTACAAAATCCCACGCTTAAATGAGCTGAAGAGCATTTTAAGTTTTCTATATAAAACTTATATTATTTTTGTATGCTTTCTATAAGCTTTCAGATAAAGCTAAATAAATATATATTAGTCAGAAATATATGTTGAATGCAGCAAACAGAGTATGGCGACGTCGGTTATGCCCGACCGTTGTCTTTGCTGCAATTGTTTTCCGTTGTTTCGTTGTGTGTGCAAATGTCTCTCTCACCTGTACACTGAATCATCGTAGACAAGCAGAATGCGCAGTGGTTGATCGGCCACAAGGCTGCGCCGTCGCACGCTGTGCGCCGCCTGGTTTCCGTTGCCGTTCCAGTTCCCCTCGGAGTGCTCGCCGGCGACGTCATCGACAGCTTCGGTATCATCGTGTATGCGCACGCCGTGGATGACCTGCAAAGGGAAGGGCGGGAGGGGCGGATGAGAAATTCGGCTCTGCTTTAAAATGTCTGCTAAACGAAAGCGAAAATGTGGCCAGCAATTAGATGACGACATGGACACAAAAGGCCACACACAAAGGCAGCTGTAATTGGCTACCTTTTTCTCTTTTTTGCTCTTTTATTATTATTTTTTTATTTTTGGTGGATAAATTGCAGTGAAATTAATTTTTAAATTACCCGCCAAAATGTCGAACTGATTGAGACATCAAAATGTCAATGATTTGTGGCTTTTTGGCCAATTGGGTTTGCTAATTCGCATTTGTTTTTTATTGTCGTTTTTTCTTCTTTTTTCTTCTTCTTTTTTTTGCATTATAGTCAGCCTTTGTTTCGGCTATTGTGCAATGCGTGCCAATTATTGTGCATAAATTAGACCCTGTTGAATATTCAAAACACCATGTCCAACCATTTAGACTGCTTATCTATTATAGTTTATGGTTGGTCGACCGACCAATAGCACGAGCAACGCCTATGCTCACAAATTTGACTAGCGCATCTTTCAGATGCGGCTGAGTGCTCCAGTTTAAGGGTATGCGACCAGCAGATACCCTGCCTGACCGTAATATACGCACACAGATAAAAGTACAGGTAGAAGATAAAGAACAAGTACAGAAGCAGATACAATTGAATACAAGGACTTTCTAAATAAAGATAGACATACGACTATAGATACAGATGCAAATAGAAACGTTCCTCCTGAGTATTTTATAATGCGTAAAATTGTACATCATTTCACGATGAAGATTACTATCTTGATCGACATTTATCAATTATGGTGCTCTAGAATTCATCGACAACTATTTTCGAATTGAAAATTCTAGTTACGCAAGCTCGTTATCTTCAAACTCTACAGGGTATAGCAAATGAATTACATGTCCAGGCAGTCCAAGACCTCGGCAATGAAGATCGAAAGCTAGTTCACTCTCAACCACAAGCAAAAACAAAAGTGAATAGAGGTAAATCCAGCTTGCACATGCTATAAACCCATTACCTGTTTTCTCGTATATATAATGAAGTGCGCGCTGCGAGCAATATGCACTTTGAAATCTGAATAATCATTAACGATGTTAACAAGACTATATTCATTCCAATTCTGCAATTACTTTAATGCTACAATTTGTAGCTAATGAATTGGTCGTGAGAATCGATTCGAGTCGGTGTGAATTCTTAATGCCGTTAAATGGCATAAACCCAAGCACCTGCGCAATCTGCATAGCCACTAAGAAAAGCTGTTTTGGGGAAATACCGACTAAGAATGCATACTCAACCATTTTACAAAACCATTTGTTTCTGTTTTATTGCTCTTAAGGAAAGTTATACGACATAGTTCCATAGATATTGATAAATTCTAACACAGGTGTTTAGATTGGTTAGCAGATGCATATAGAAATAAATATACAAACTTTTATGTGAATAGCTTCAGAATGTGCCCACAGAAGAGGCAATAAATGTATAATGTCCTCTGTAAGTGTATGAACACCATTTGAGCTTATGTAAACATACTTAAATGTGTATATATATCCATTTACTTGGACGATCTCGACAACAATAACAGCAATTTATCTATATTTGTCTATTCAGCAACAAAGGAACGATCACCAAGAAGAAGAAGAAGAAGAAAGAGAATGAGACAACAAATAGCGACGCAGTGTAGTGGGGAGTACTAAGTACGATCATTGCAGAGGGGTATATATGACTGCATGTTGCACTGTAATAGTACTATTGCTCAGATAGGGCCATCAAAAGCTTTATTATTTCAACTCTAACTTAAAAGCTCTGCTATAGAAGTAGCTAGCTCTATTCTTAATATGTAAAATAGTAGAAGTCCTTGGCATTTCTATTAGAATAGAGAGTCAAATATACTCTTTTCGAACGAGTATGCACAAATGCTGAATGTATGAAAACCATTAAGATAACAAAAGAACAAACATTGCAATAAGCGTCAACAGCTGAAATCGTGACGGCCTCAACAATTGAACAGCCGCTTGCATGATCTTCAATCAAAGAGGCTGCTCGAGCCCCGCTCGCCTTCCCGCCTTCCTCATGCAGAGCCTCAACATGGTGTTTCAGTTTGTGGTTTGCGCACTGCGAATTGTGTTGCACCGAAATGCGTTTAACTGCTTTCAATCTTGCAAATTGCGGCATTCACCAGGTGAAAGATGAGCCGCAGCACCTGACGCACAATGCGCTTGGTAGTTGATGGCAAGCGGTGCCACAACGACCCAGCTGTGCAACATGTGGCAAGTTTATAGCGCCAGTGTCGATGCCATGCCGCAAGCCAACAGCCGTATTTCAATCAGCGCATAGTGGTGCGAAACTAGTTTTGAATAGTACAAAATAAACAATAACATTTAATTACTTAAAGTTAATTATATTATATGACCGGTGAGGTCATTATAATTTTGCAATTATACGAGGAAGTATATGAATCTCAACCACAGCTGTATCTTTGTGGTATTTCGATTTCCTATCTATTGATTATTTGATTACTATCTGATCAAAGAAAAAAGTCTATTTATTTTTTATTCACCTTGCCCCACTGTTTCTCAAGTTTTTCGAATGTTGCAACAATAGGAACCGTGACAGACTTTGCAAGTTATCCAGCATTAGCTGGGAAAACAGACATTATTGAAGGCTTTTCAATATTATTGACAGAAACATTGAAAATATTCACCAATTGAAGTTATCAATATCGAAAAAATATTTTCAAATGTTGTAATTGAAACGAAAGTTATATTTTCTTTAAAGTTGGAATCATAATACTTATGTATTTGTAGGGATGGGTACGCACCCTCACAACACAATGGGACAATAATATGAATATATATTTTCTAGCATTAAGTCTTAAGTCATTGCGAATACGATACAATTGTTAAGGAAGAGCATAGTAATCAACTTAAATATTAATACTTCCAACAAGATTTTTAAATATATTCAATTATTTTTATATTTCATTTTCTTGTTAAAAATGAAATATATGAGACTAGGAACTCTTTACTCTAATCTAAATAGGTATATATGTCAGATTATTTTCATTGATGCATTTAATGACTAATGACTTTTTAATATACATATAATCTGTGAAATATTGCTAATTCCTAGACCAATCGACTACGGAAATGGAAACAGAAATAATATTTCGTTCGGTTAGTCAATATGGGGTGTGCATTTATTGTAGTATTTCTCATACAAATGAGCTTGGTAAGCTGACAGAATCTCATCTATAATATCCTTATGGAACTACTTTTCTATTGTATATAAAGGTGGGATGTTTTTTTAAATTTCTGAATGTGGAGTGCGACATCATGGATCCACAAGCTGTAGCTATAGAAGAATGCCGTATAAGAGCCTTCAATCGCTCTGAAAATTACTTAAATATTATAGCCAATTTGAAGCAAAATGTCACAAAAGTAAGCAAATTCATTTCAAATATCAATTCCATTCAAATAAATATTTTATATTCGTTTCCAGCCAAAAATTTCGTTTCGATTTATTAAGCGCGAACGTGGAGGTTGGCATCCCTTCCTATATGCAATGACTGTCGATGTGTGCAAATTTTTTGACGGCTCCTTTAAAAATCCGTTGACCACGATAATCTACAATTATTTAGTGGCGTACACGAATGCCAATCATAGCTGTCCCTATTTGGTATTTCGAATAATTATTTAAATCTAGCTACTTCTTTTAAATGCACTCTATTTTGTTTAGAAAAATACCAATCTCAAATTACTTCGACTCAATCTAAATGAACTGGACATACTTAGTCGATTTCCACTCGATGACGGTGTATATGGTATTCAATCATCGTGGTACAGCAATAACAAATTGATCCTTCATCTGAATGGGTCGGCGTCTTTAACAAAATCTTACAAAAAGCATTAACAATATAGTGAAGTATGAAAATTATATATAATTATACTATTTCTCATAAGTATTTAAACACAATTTCAAATATTTTTTGCAGAATACAGATACCAGAGACCTTAGCTAATGTTGTATATTGTTCTGCAGGCGGCAAACAGTATATACATCTTGATAAGAAAAACTAGCTTGGTCAATTTATCTACAAAAAATGTTTTTTATGTGTCTATATAAATGTCTATATAAATAAATTTGTATACCCTGAAATCAGTGTATAATATTTTTCTGAAAATCTATGTAAAGGCTACAGGATTTCGTTTTTTAGCGTACTTTTAATACTATTAAACCTGGAGACTTCAGATTTATTGTGTATATACATTTGATATGATATGATATGATATGAAGATTTTGTAATTTACGCATTTTAAGTACTGCTATTCAACAAAAAATTTTTCATAATGTAGTCCAAGCGCAGTCGCTGCTTACTGCGCAGCTATCAGAGCGCGTGCATATACGTTCCTGTGGATGCATGTCTTTTTGTATGTGTGTATAAAAGAAGCGCAGAATGATTGGAATATCAGTTCTTTGCAGAGTTTAGGGTATCTCCCAGTCGAGTAGTTTCGAATACTGCTTTTAAATGATGAATTTAATGACTTTTTAATATACATAAAATTTATAAACTAATGCTGATCCCTAGACCAATCGACTACGGAAATAGAAACAGAAGTAATATTTCGTTCGGTTTGTCAACATGGGATGTGCATTTATTGTAGTATTTCTCATACAAATGAGCTTGGTAAGCTGACAGAATCTCATCTATAATATCCTTATGGAACTACTTTTCTATGGTATTTAAAGGTGGGATGTTTTTTTAAATTTCTGAATGTGGAGTGCGACATCATGGATCCACAAGCTATAGCAACAGAAGAATGCCGTATAAGAGCCTTCAATCGCTCTGAAAATTACTTAAATATTATAGCCACTTTGAAGCAAAATGTCACAAAAGTAAGCAAATTTATTTCAAATATCAATTCTATTCATATCAATATTTCATCTTTGTTTCCAGCTTAAAGTTTCATTTCGATTTATTAAGCG